GCTGATAAATACTTTCAACAAAGTGACTGTATAAAAAATTAATTCAAAACATCAAGAGCCCTCTTTTATACTAATAATAAGTGGGCTGGGAAAATCATGGAAACAACACTTTTCACAATAGCCACAAATAGTACAAAATATCCTATGTAACTCCAACTAAGTGAATGAAAGAGCTGTATGACAAGAACTTAGAGTCTGTGAAAAAAAGAATTGAAGAAGATATCACAAAATGGAAAGAAATCCCATGCTCTTGGGCTAATAGGAGTAACAGAAAAATGCTCACCTTACTCAAAGCAATCTGCAGAGTCAATGCAATTCCTATCAGAACTACAACACTATTCTTTACAGACCTTGAAAAATCAATGCTTATCTTCCTATGGGAAAAAACCCAAGCAAACAATACTAGTAAACAGTATTGAGATCGAAGGAATGGTCGATCCTGGAACAGATGTCACCACTAACTCTTCAAAATCTTGGCCTGCAAGTTGGCCACTTCAAGAAGTAAACATCCAGTTTCAAGGAGTTGGAACTTTATCCCAAATAAAGCAAAGCTTCATATGGCTTAAATGTACAGGAGCTGAATGCCAAGAAGGAAAATTAAGGCCATATTTGGCAGATGTAGCCATTAACCTATGGGGAAGAGATCAGTTACAGCAGTGGAAAACACAAATTAATATCCCCTCGGTTTCAGAGGCTGACCACAAAACTGGTCAGGTTCTTAATAAAAAAATTAAATTAGTTAAGGAACATGGACAAAGGCAGTTACACACTGTCCATGCTGTACATAAACAAGATACAGCAAGGGCTGACAATTTAGCTCTACCCTAAGGAGCCATTGCTCCTTGCCAAGACACTAACAGCCTTACCACTAAGGTGTTTGACTGACAAACACATTTGGATTGATTAATGGCTTGACAAAAAATAAACCACAGGTGCTACAACAGCTAGTCCAGGAGCAGTTGGAGGCTCAGCATGTAGAGGAGCATGCCAGCCGTTGGAATTCTCTAACATTTATCATTAAAAAAAAAGTCTGGCAAATGGAGGATGTTGACAGATCTCAGAGCAATTAATAAGATTATTCAGCCAATGGGTTCCCTGCAGCCTGTAATCCCATTGCCTTCCTTGTTGCCTAAGGAATGCCTATCACAGTGATTGATCTAAAAGATCAGTTTTCCCCCCACAATTTCTGTACATGAACGTTATAAGGAAAGTTTTGCTTTTTCAGTATTTACCTCCACTAGAAGTTGTCCAATAGAAAGAAAGTCTTGCCACAAGGAATGTTAAATATTCCTACTTTGTGTCAACATTTTGTACAAAAGCCATTGGAGATGATTTGCAATCAAATTTCCCAATCCATTATTTTCCATTATATAGATGATATCCTATTGACAGATTCAGATATAAATATCCTGGAAAAGATGTTTGATGAAGTAAAAAAAACAAAACAAAACAAAACAAAACAAAACAAAACAAAACAAAACCCTTGCATTGCTGGGGATTTTAAATTGTCCCTGAAAAAATACAAAGAGCGGATTCTATTAATTATCTAGGATATAGAATAAGCCTGCAAATGGTTAGGTCACAAAAGGTACAAATCAGAAGAAACCAATTAAGGACTCATAATGATTTTCAGAAGTTACATGGAGATAGTAACTTGCTGCAGCCTGAGATTGGCTTGGCTACTCAAGAGCTAAGCACTTTATTTTAGACCTTACAAAGTGACAAAGATTTAAATAGCCCAAGGAAATTATTAGCTAAGGATGAGAAGGAATTAGCTCTAGTAGGAATGAAATTGCAGGATCCACATCTAGATTGTCTTCATCCAAAGATGGCATGTACCTTAGTTATCTTACCTTCTACTCATTCCCCTACAGGAATTTTCATGCAGAGGGAAGAATATATGTTAAAATTGACATTTTTAGCATATAAACAGAGCAAGAAATTAAAAATCTACATAGAGAAGGTTTCTGAACTGATTCTAAAAAGAAAAATGAGACTTCAACAATTAGCTGGAATGGATCCAAACTGAGATTGTGGTATCTTTTACTAACACAGAGATTGCATTGTTATGGACACAAGATGAAAATTGGCAAAGAGCATGCAGTAATTTCTTGGGAGAGATTAATAACAGATACCTTAAAAGCAAGTTACTTCATTTAATAAAAACAACTAATGGGATTGTCCCTCATATAATAACAAGCATTCCAATTTCTAGAGCTCTTACATTTTACATTGATGCTAATAAATCTGGAAAAACAGGATATAAATCAGATGTAAGTAAGGTGGCTGAGTGTCCCTATATGTCAGTTCAAAAATCTGAATTATATGCAATATTTATGGTGTTGTCAGACTTTCAAGAATCTCTTAATATAATAACTGACTCTTAATATGCAGAAAGGGTTGTTTTACACAGAGACTGCCTAGCTTATTGAAGATGATTCTGAATTGACTTCACTATTTACTTAGCTACAATAAATCATCAGAGATAGGAGTCATCCACTATATATATAACACATGTAAGATCCCATACAGTTCTGCCAGGTCCTCTGGCACAAGATAATAATAAAATTGACCAGCTATTGGTAGGGAATGTACTAGAGGCTTCAGAATTCCATAAAACTCCATGTTAACAGTAAAGGTTTAAAGAAAGAATTTTCTATCACTTGGAAACAAGCCAAAGAAATTGAGAAGCAGTGTCCTACTTCCTCAATATATAACCAACCTCCATTACCTACAGAAATAATCTTAAAAGTACTCAAAGAAATGATACTTGGCAAATGGATGTCTTTCATTTTACAGAGTTTGGTAACCTGAAATATGTGCATCATACTGTAGACACATATTCAGGCTATCAAGGACAACTGCCTTAGCTTCAGGGAAGGCTGATTCTACAATTACACATTTGTTAGAAGTTATGGTCATTATGGAAATAACTATATAAATTAAAAAGCACAATGGTCCAGAGTATGTCTCTAATAAGGTGAAGCAGTTTTTTTAACATATTATAATATAAAACATGTTATAAGGCATATCACATAATACTACAGGATAAGTGAATATGGAGAGATCTAATTGAACTCTAAAGGAAGTGCTTAACAGGCAAAAGGGTGCAACAAAGAACCCCCAGAGATAGACTACATAGTGCTTTATTAACCTTAAAAATTTTAAATGCTAACAAACAAAAAACTATGGCTGCTGAAAAACATTGGTTTGTGGAAAATAATTGCTGAACTAAACCAACCTGTTTATGTCAAGGATGTTCTGACATCAGAATGCAAATGGGAAATATGTTAGGCTAGGGGAGGGTTTATGTCTATATTTCCACAGGAAAGAAAAAAGCTATGGGTTGTTTCCAAATTGTTATAAATCAGACATGACAAAGGGAGACCCCTTGAAGACCTTGGCTACAGACAAGAAGGAGTCTAATAAGATCAACAAGCTGGTGATGTATATATATCTGTACACAGAGACAGCTCTGGGGCCAACTGAGACACACACACACACACACACATATATATATATATCCAATAACACTACTGGGCACATAATTCTTGTGACTTATTATTACATACCATCCTTTAAGATGGCATAAAAGGAAATTTATATTATAGTTTGATTATGTGATCAAATTAACCTCTAAAGAAAGGATATTTCTCTCTTTTTTATTGGTTATTTTATTTGTTTACATTTCAAATGTTGTTCCCCTTCCTGCTTTCTTCTCTGCAAGTCACTTATTACCTCCTCCTCTCCTGCCGCTATGAAGGTGCTCCCCCTCCACCCACTCACTTCTACCTCAACTCCCTAGCATCCTACTATGCTGGGGCATCGAGCCTCCACAGGACCAAGGGCCTCCTCTCCTATTGATGACAGATAAGGCAGTCATCAATCTGCTACACCTGTGGCCTAGGCCATGGGGTCCCTCCGTGTGTATTCTTTGGTTGGTAGTTTGCTCCCTGGGAGCTCTGAGGAGTCTGGTTAATTTATATTGTTTTTCTTCCTATGGCATTGCAATCTCCTCCAACTTCTTCAGTCCTTATCCCAACTCTTCCCTTGTGATCTCTTGCTCAGTCTGATGGTTGGCTGTGAGCATCCACATCTGTATTGGTCAGGCTCTGGTAGAGCCTTTTGGGGGACCACTAAATCAGGCTCCTGTCAGCAAGTGCTGTTTGACATCAGCAATAGTGTTTGAGTTTGGAGTCTGCAGATGGGATGGATCCCTACGTGGGCAGTCTCTGGATGGCCTTTCCTTCAGTCTCTGCTCCACTCTTAGTCCCTGTATTTTCTTTAGAACAACTCTGGGTTAAAACTTTTGAGATGGGTGGGTGGTCCAATCCCTCAACTACAGGGCTGTGTCTATTCACTGAATATAGTCTCTTCAGGTACTATCTCCCCTGGGTCGGGTATTTTGCGTAATGTCAGCCCCTCTGGGTCCTGGGAACCTCTTGCTTCACTGGCATCTGGACTTTCTAGTAGATACCCTAAGTTTACTATTGCCTACTGCCATATACCTCAGGTCAATATACTGACCCTCTGAACTTCTCCTGTGTCTCCCATACCTGATCCTGTCCATCTTTTATCCTCCCCCTCCTCTCACCTTCTCAGATTCCTCTCTTCCTTTACCTCCCTTTAGTTCCCCTTTCTAAATAGGACTGAAGCATCCACACTTTGGTCTTCCTTCTTCTTGAGCTTCATATGGTCTGTGGGTTGTATCATGGGTATTCTGAGCTTTTAGGCTACTATCCACTTATCAGTAAGTACATACTGTTCTTGATGAGTACATGCGTGTTCTTTTGTGACTGGATTATCTCGTTCAGGCGATATTTTCTAGTTTCATCCATTGGCCTGTGAATTTCGTGAAGTCATTGGTTTTTGTTTTTGTTTTTTTTTTGACTGCTGTGAGTTTATTTTCTGCTTTGTGCAAGACACAGCCATGGGGTCAGGAAAGCTCAGTGCTGTGAACCAAGAGGGGCTCTCTCCAGCTCCTGCTGGTGTCTGTTTTTCAGCCTTCCTAGTTTACAGGGAGGGTTGAGAGGGTAGGCTCTGGCCCAGCACCACTTAAGCTTGGGCAGGCTGCTGATTCTGACAGGTCAGGACAGGGCCCTGGTGTTGATCTGGCCAGGATGGACGACTGGATGCTTCTTCATGGTTTCAGGAGCCAGGCCACAGGTGATCGGGCTTCTGGAGGCCTGGGGGGATTCTGCCATGTGCTCAGGAGACTCCAACACTGTGGCCATGAATGGGAGGGTGGATTTCCCGAAAAAGAAGCTGGCCCGCCAGTGGCCTGGGTCGGCTTTGGGAAGACCCGGGGAGTGGGGCACGGCATCCCCTGGGTACTCGACACTTCCACCGGAGCTGCTGGACGAGGAGCCCAGGCGTCGCCGATAGTAGTCATGGGTAGCCACGAGCGAGCCGCTGGAAGGGATGGCTGCCATGCTTCAGGGCCGAGGCGCTCGGCGGAGACCCCTCCTTGCAGGCTTCGGTTGAAGGTCAGGGGTGGCAACGGCTGGGGCACTAGGCCACGGATCCCATTTGCAAGGATAACCTACGAAATACTACTTTAGGATCCACGCACGCTATGCGCGCGCGTACTTAGTTGCTTTTCTGCACGGCAACAGACGCCTCACTTGAAGTCATTGTTTTTAATAGCTAAGTAGTACTCCCTTGTGTAATTTGCCACATTCTCTGTATCCATTTCTCAGTTTAGGGACATCTGTCTTGTTTCCAGCCTTTAGTTATTATCAATAAGATGGTTATAATTATAGTGAAACGTGTTCTTGTTGTATGTTGGAGCATCTTTTGGTTATATGTGCAGGAGTGGTGTAGCTGGGTCTTCAGGTAGAACTATTTCCATTTTTCTGAGGAATGTACAGACTGTTTTCCTGAGTGATTGTACCAGCTTGCATTCTCTCCAGCAATAGAGGAGTGTATCTGTCTTTCCACATGCTCGCCAGCATTTGCTGTCATCTGAGTTTTTGATCTTAGTTACTCTGGCTGGTGTGAGGTTGAATCTTAGGGTCATTTTGATTTCCCTGATGACTAAGTATGTTGAACATTTCTTTAGGGGCTTCTCAGCCATTTGAGATTCCTCAGTTGGTGATTCTTAGCTTAGGTCGGTACTTTTAATTTTATTTTTTTGTTATTTGGTGAGTTCTTTGTATATATTAGATATTAGCCCTCTATTGAATGGAGGGTTGGTAAAGATCTTTTCCCAATTTGTAGGTTGCCATTTTGTCCTATTGACAGTGTCCTTTGCCTTATAGAAGGTTTTGAATTTTATGAGCATCCATTTGTCAGTAGTTGATCTTAGAGCCTGAGTCACTGGTGATCTCTTCATGAAATTTTCCCCTGTGCTGATGTGTTCAAGGCTCTTTCCCACTTCCTCTTCTATTCGATTAAGTGTATCTGGTTTTATGTGGAGGTCCTTGATCAACTTGGACTTCAGCTTTGTACAAGGAGATAAGAATTGATCAATTTGCATTCTTTTACATGCGGACCACCAGCTGAACTAGCGCCATTTGTTGAATATGCTGTCATACTTCTACTGGATGGTTTCAGCTGCTTTGTCAAAGATCAGGTGTCCAAGGTGTATGGGTTTATTTCTGGGTCTTCAATTCTATTCCACTGATCTATGGGACTGTCTCTGTACTAATACTATGTGTTTTTTAATGTGAGTGCTTTGTGATACAGCTTGAGGTTAGGGATGGTGATTCCCCCAGAAGTTCTCTTATTGTTTGGAATAGTTTTTACTATCCTGGGTTTTTGTTATTCCAGATGAATTTGAGAATTTCCCTTTCTATCTCTGTGAAGAATTGAGTTGGAATCTTGATGGGGATTGCATTGAATCTGTAGATTGCTTTTGGTAAGATGGACATTTTTACTATGCTAATCCTGCCAATTCATGAGCATGGGAGAGCTTTCCATCTTCTGAGATCTTCTTTGATTTCTTTCATCAGAGACTTGAAATTCTTAATGTACAGATCTTTCACTTCCTTAGTTAGAATAACTCCAAGATATTTTATATTATTTGTGACTATTGTGAAAGGTGTCATTTCCCTAATTACTTTCTCAACCCACTTATCATTTGAGTAGAGGAAGGTTACCGATTTGTTTGAGTTAGTTTTGTATCCAGCCACGTTGTTGAAGTTGTTTATCAGCTGAAGGGGCTCTTTGGTGGAATTTTTGGTGTCACTTAATTGTACTATCATATCATCCACAAATAGTGATATTTTGACTTCTTCCTTTCCAATTTGTATCCTTTGACCTCCTTTTGTGGTCTAATTTCTCTGGCTAGAACTTCAAATACTATTCTGAATTGATAGAAAGTGACAGCCTTATCTAGTCTCTGATTTTAATGAGATTGTTTCACGTTTCTCTTCATTTAGTTTGATGTTGGGTATTAGTTTACTGTATAGTGGTTTATTACGTTTATATATGGGCCTCGAATTCTTGATCTTTCCAAGACTTTTAACATGAAAGGTTGTTGTATTTTTACAAGGGCTTTTTCAGCATCTAGTGAGCTATGATCATCTGATGTTTTTGAGTTTGTTTATATAGTGGATTACATTGGTGGATTTCCTTATATTCAACCATCCCTGCATCACTGGGATGAAGCCTACTTGATCCAGGTGAATGTTCATTTTGATTTGTTCTTGAATTCAGTTTGTGATAATTTTATTATATTTGCATTGTCATTCATAAAGGAAATTGGTCTGAAGTTCTCTTTCTTTCTTGGGTCATTGTGTGGTTTAGGTATCAGCATAATTGTGGCTTTATAGAAATAATTAGGTAGTGTTTTTCTTCTGTTTCTATTTTCTGGATAAATTTGAGTAGTATTGGTATTGAATCTTTTTTGTTTGTTTGTTTGTTTTGGTTTTTCGAGACAGGGTTTCTCTATGTAGCTCTGGCTGTCCTGAATCTCACCCTGTAGGCCAGGTTGGCCTCGAACTCAGAAATCTGCCTGCCTCTGCCTCCAAAGTGCTGAGATTAAGGGCATGAGCCACCACTGCCCGGCTGTTATTAAGCCTTATTTGAACATCTTACAGAATTCTGTACTAAAACCATCTGGCCTTGGGAGTTTTTTGGTTGGGAGGCTTTTAATGACTGCTTCTATTTCCTTAGGTGTTATGGCATTGTTTATATGGTTTATCTGATCCTGATTTATCTTTGTTACTTGGTATCTGTTTAGAAAATCATCCATTTCATCTAGAGTTTTCACTTTGGTGAGTATAGTCTTTTGTAGTAGGATCTGGTGATTGGATTTTTTCAGTTTCTGTCATTTACTCTTCCTTTTCATTTCTGATTTTGTTAATTAGGATACTGTCTCTGTACCCTTTGGTTAGAATGGCTAAGGGTTTGCCAATCTTATTGATTTTCTTAAAGAACTAGTTCTGTGTTTTGTTGATTCTTTGTATAATTCTCTTTGTTTCTGCTTGGTTGATTCCAGCTCTTCTTTTGCCATTTGCTACATTCGTGCCATCTACATCTTTTGGGTGTATTTGCTTCTTTTTGTTCTAGATCTTTCAGCTGTGCTGTCAAGCTGCTGGTGTATGCTCTCTCCAATTTATTTATGGAGGCACTCAATGCTATGATTTTTCCTCTTAGCAGTGCTTTCATTGTGTCCCATAAGTTTGGGTATGTTGTGCCTTCATTTTCATTAAATTCTAGAAGGTCTTTAATTTCTTCCCAGACCAATTTATCATTGAGTAGAGAGTTGTTCAGCTTTCATGTGTATGCGGGCTTTTTGTTGTTTCTGTTGTTATTGAAAACTGGCCTTAGTCTGTGGTGATCTGTTTGGATGCATGGCTTTATTTCAATCTTCTTGTATAGGTTGAAGCCTATTTTTTTTATTAAGTATATGTTTAATATTGGAGAAGGTCCCATGATGCTGAGAAGAAGTCATATTCTTTTGTTTTATGGTATAATATTTTATATATATACATTAAATCCATTTCGTTTGAGTTCTGTTAGTTTTTCTGTGTCTTTGTTTATTTTCTGTTTTCATGATCTGTCCATTGGTGAGAGTGGCGTATTAAAGTCTCTCACTTTTTTTGTGTGAGGTTCAATGTGTGTTTTGAGTTTTAGTAACATCTCTTTTACAAATGTGGGTACCCTTGCATTTGGGACATAAATGTTCAGAATTGAGAATTAATCCTGGCAGATTTTTCCTTTGATGAGTATGAAGTGTCCTTTCTTATAATTTTTGATAACTTTTTGTTAAAAGCCAATTTCATTTGCTATTAGAATGGCTACTTCAGCTTGACTCAGAATTATTTGCTTGGAAAGTTTTTTTTTCTAACCTTGAATTTATGGTAGTTTGTTACTGAAGTGTGTTTCCTGTATGCAGGAAAATCCTAGGTTCTGTTTACCTATTCAGTCTGTTAGTCCATGTGTTTTTTAGTTAGGGAATTTTGTTCATTGGTGTTAAGAGAGATTAAGAACCAATGACTGTTGCTTCCCATTACTTTTGTTATTAGAGGCAGAATTATGTTTTGTGGCTCTGTTCTTTTGGGTTTGTTGAAAGAAGATTACTTTCTTGCTTTCTCTAGGGTGTAGTTTCCCTCCTTGTGTGGAGTTTTCTATCTATTATCCTTTGCAGGGCTGGATTTGTGGCAAACTGTTGTTTAAATTTGGTTTTGTCTTGGAATGTCTTAGTTTCTACATCTGTGGTAATCGATAGTTTTGCTGGGTATAGTAGCTTGGGGTGGCATTTTTGTTCTCTTAGGGTCTATATGGTATCTGGTCAAGCTCTTTTGACTTCATAGAGTCTCTGTTAAGAAGCCTGGTGTAATTCTGATAGGTCTGCCTTTATATTTTACTTGACCTTTTTCCCTTACGACTTTTAATATTCTATCTTTGTTCTGTGGGACCATGAAGTATAGCTTGGCTCTTGGTCAAGCACAGGCTTCAAACCCTGGACCCTAATGTGATGATGGTAGGTGTTTAGCCTTACTCCCAGACCCCAGGCTCCTGATATGTACTCCATTAATCAGTGTCTTTCAGTTATGTAGGGCAATGCCCCTACCAGCACCTCCATGGTTAGAGAGCTTAACTTCAGGCCTCAGCCTCTAGAGACTTCTGTATTAATGAGATACCTGAAGATCAGAGGGCCAATTAAGCATTCCTCCCCAGACCCTCCTGCTTACAAACAGTATTTAACCAAAGGCCCACTCTGGAGGTACAGGAGTACAACCAGATTCATCCACCATCCGCTATGAAAATAAACCTTTTAAACCCATGGACGTCCTCATGTCTTGGGGGACCCGCCATGGGGAACCATGGAGAAGGCCTTTGACTAATGAGCCACCACTGCCACCTAATCTCCCACTAGAAGACTTCTCTACATTCCTGCTGTGGAATTGCACCAACTCAAGCAAGCTAGCCAAGCCAGAGACCCAGCCAAGCAAGTGCCATAACAGGGTCTCTACCCAAGGAGCTCTGTCAGGGTTTCCCTCCCCCTCGTCTCTCTCAG